TGAAATCATAATACTTTTTTTTTAAGTCACGCAAGAAAAAAAACAAGCAAAGCAAAAAAGCAAAATAAAAATGTCACTACATTTAACTGCACAAAGTGCCCAATTGTTCAGATGTCAGACATAAACAATAAATAAAAAAAATAATTAAAATATACCCCACCCTTAATGAGAAAGTGCAGGAATGTCAGCTTTGGTTTTGTGTATGATGTCCATCTAAAATTCTTATAATACAAAAATAATACAAAAATTCACATATCAACATAAAATGCCACTGAATTTAGTATATTGCAAAGAGTGCAACCTGTTCACAGATCCAAAAAATAAATACATAATAGCCCAAACTAGCCCACTCTTCATGGGAAAGTGCAGAGAATGTCAGTTTTGTTTTTTTGTTTTTGATGTCCATCATTCAGACACCTGCCTCCCAAAAAAAAGTTCAGGTGGGGGTCATGCACCAGGTAGGATTACTCAGGTGGCCAGGTAACTTCTAAAGTAGCAACAACTTCTCTTAACATTTATTAATAAATAGCAATGATCAAAACTAATGACTAACTGTGGTCAAAGTCAATTATAAGGGAAAAGCAATTGTAAAATAAAATTTTAAAAAAAGAATCATTACCCTTTATGTCCTATAATTATTTGTAGTTTCAGTAGGTAACTACACAAAAATTGCAAAAAAGTAATTTAACTACTTTAATTAATATGCAAATGTGAGTGTAGCTAAACTACCAGCAAGCTATTGTTAAATGTAGTTAAACTTAATTATATTTAAACATGTAGCTCACTTCTCCTCGACACTGTCATTTTTTACATTGTTTCACAAAGAGTTGTTCAATTACACCTAGCTAAACACTGCAGGTGTTAAACAATGGTTAAGTTCAGTGTGTTTCCAGGTATGTAATTATATTTAAATTAATCACGCCGCGGTCTCAGCTGTGCGTTTTCAAAGCGGCCTCGCGCTCGACGCCAATTCAGGAAGTTTATCTGGTAGCTGTTTGTTCTCCAAACTCCTACTGAGGAGACCTGAGACAAACATGGGGAAGCTTAATTTTTTTGTCCTTTGGTCCCTACGTGACGCCCCCCGCCAGTTCATCAGGTAGGCTTACTTTTTAAATACTTTTTTTTATTGTTTGAAACAACATTTCAAACATGTGGTCTCACCCTCCGCAGCAAATCCAACCGGAGCTGCTTCCAAGTCCACATCCCGCTGCCTCTTCCCAAACAGCTGGTCATCTTTGGCCTCGGAGAGTGGAAATGCAGCGAGGCGACCATCTCAGTGGATGTTGTGGTCAGTGCCCAGTGCCCTGCCCAGAAAATTGGCACTCTGTCAGCTCAAGTAAGGTATGTGGAGGAAGTGTGTTAGTTTCTGTTGTTGATACAAAAAAAAAAAAACCTCGAGTGTAAAGTGGTAAAATTGACTTTGAACTCAGGTGCCTGACCTGGGAGGGTGACTGGAGAGATGACGTTGTCACAGTGGCAGCAGAGAGAGGCAGGAGAGGAGTTTATGGCAAGATTGTGCTCACAGTGTGTGGACAGGTAGGAAGCTTTGTCTTTGTGTTCACAGGTCATATACACACTGGCCACTTTATTAGGTACACCTTGCTTGTACTGGGTTGGACCCCCTTTACCTACACAATTACCTTAATTTATCGTGGCATAGATTCAACAAGGTGCTGGAAACATTCCTCAGAGATGTTGGTCCATATTGACAAGATAGCATCACACAGTTGCTGAACATCCATGATGCGAATCTCCTGTTCCACCACATCCCAAAGGTGCTCTGTTGGATTGAGACCTGGTGACTGTGGAGGCCATTGGAGTACAGTGAACTCTCTGTCATGTTCAAGAAACTAGTTTGAGATGATTTGAGCTTTGTGACATGGTGCGTTATCCTGCTGGAAGTAGCCATCAGAAGATAATTATTAATTACATGTAGTTCAGCACTCCCCAACACTGGGTTTAGTTCAAATTTCAGATATAGAAGGCATTATATTGTCACTGCTTTAATGCAAAGACTTGTGTCCAACTACAGGATCAAGCCAGTGTTTTCAGCAGCACTCCTCTGGTTCAAAGGAAGTTTCTGTTCCCAGACCAGCATGATGCCACTGATCTCTCCTGCACGTTACACCAGAGCGTTGTAAATGACACGGTGAGATGAACAGGGTTAAAATTGCTTTGCTGTGATCTACTCTTTTGTTGCAGCGTTTCATTATTGTCCTGCCTTGCAGATAACTTCCAACTCCTCACACCTGGGTGATAGTGTTTTCTGTGCGGAGATCCAAGTTAATAAAATTGACACCAGTGAGCCCACGGTGGGGAACAAACTCCCGCTTTGGCCTACGGTAATATTCATGCTCAACTATATATTGATTCATGTCTGCATGTAAAGTAAGTGACTTATTCTTTGATGTACAACCCTCAGGATAAGACCCCCAAACGGACAGTTATTAGTAGGAGAGGCCGGCTGACGTGGAGCTCTGAGGACATGGACAGTCTGGCAGAGGACATAGAACAGGCTTCAACGCCCAAGAAAATGAGGCTGTCCAGGATGAACAGCAAAGAGGAAATGAGTGTGCAGATAAAAACGGAGACCAGAGAAGGTCAGGAAACTTTAACAACCACTGCGGTCACATCTGAATGCTCAAAATGCGGTTTGACAGAGATCTTGGTTTAGTTTCAGTGTGTCCGTCAAAGCGCTGGAGCCATACCATGTGCCTGAGTGACCCTGACACAGCCGTCCTCATCGGAGGGGAGGCAGCGGATCAACATTACTGCAAGGACTCCCTGTGGAAGCTTGAGTTAGGTCAGTGGGTATTGTTTACTATAACCAAAAGGAGGAAATAAGACAAACTAGCGAAATATTTGCACTGAACATGGTGTTGTTTTTCCACATTTATTTCCATCTTGACCTATTTCCAGACAGTGACTTCTGGTTCCCCATGAACTCCTCTGCATCTGGGCCCGTGCCACCTTGTGCCCGAGGACACTCCGCAACCTATGACCCAGACTCTAAGTCGGTCTTTGTTTACGGTGGCCTGAGGGAGGGTCAGCGCTACAGCGAGCTGTACATCCTTAACACTCTGACCTGGAAGTGGAAGCTTGTCACTGTGGGTTTGTTGCAAGTCACAAACATGTAGTAGCCTTGATTTTTTTTTTTTTTTTTTTTTTTTTTTTTAATCAAATACTCAAGCAGATGTGTAGGAAATGCTTTCTCCTGGCTTGTTTTGCGGATTTACACCCTCTAGGCAAAAGGGAGTGTTCCAAATTTGGCACATCACTCTGCAGCTTTTTATAAGAAAGAGCTTTTCGTCTTTGGTGGAGTTCAGCTGAGCCACTCTTCTGTGGATAAGACCTGCAGTAACACTCTGTACATCTTCAACCCAGAGTTTGAACTCTGGTACCAGCCGATTGTGGAGGGGGACAGACCTCTGCCTCGGTTTGGGTCAGTTCTTCTTTTCAACACGACTACACTCTCATCCAAATACTGTTTAATTTTCCTTTCTGCATATTGATCCCATGCTTGTTTATATTAAACAGACACTCAGCCACACTGATGTCACAGAGGTTGATAATATTTGGTGGACGGAAGACTGCCACCTACCTGAATGATCTCCATGTTCTAGATCTGGGTAAGATGAAGATTCAGTGGCTGCACTAAGAAATGATTTTGTGTCCAGGCTTAAACTGATATTTCTGTTTCTTTTTTTTTTTTAAGGATTCATGGAGTACACAGCTGTGAAGTGTGGGAACATGCCACCGCTGCCTCGAGGGTGAGTGCAGGACTAATCAACCTTGACAAAATGTCATTGATGTAGCCATCTGTTTTCTTATATTTTTGGTGTCTTTGACAGATGGAACTGCACTTTAATTTAATGGGTTTTAACACAAAAAAATATTGTCTTTCAGCATTGTTAATTATTTTTTTAGCTAAATATGGAATAATGTCATTAATTGAATTAAGTATTATGTAGACACTGGCTTTAGAACAGTAATTGTACACGAGAAACTTCCCTGCTCGTACATGGACAGGTTTCATGCAGCTGCACCAGTTGCAAACAACAGGATATTAGTCAGTGGAGGCTGCAGTGCGATTGGAGCTCTGCAGGATTTACACATTTTCAACATCGGTGAGTACGTCATTTGTGCCACTTCAATCTGATTATAGTAAATACGATGAGATTATCAGTGTGATCCTGATAACATAATAATTGTTAATAAGGTTGGCATCAGACATGGGTATTTACTTTGAGTCACCGTGTTCCAAGCTGTTACTAACAGTGTTTTGATTTCTCCTCAGACACCAACATGTGGAGCTCAGTGGCGTCTCCTCTGCTTTGCTCCAAGCCTCGTGCAGGACACAGCATGATGAACCTGGGCCGCTCCGTCCTAACAGATGCAGAGAAGCATGAACAGGGTGAAAACGTCAGTGTCTGCTGCACACTGCTGGTGTTTGGAGGATCGGACTGCTCAGGCACCTTCTACAACGACACACTCAAGTGCACAGTGGAGATTCCTGGTGACAAGTGATGGGACAGAATCTGTTCAAGACAATTGGTTTTTTAGCGTTTTTAAACAGTGGAGGATGCTGTGGTCTGTTCTGACAGAAAAATACCAGTATCTCCAAGTGTGTTTATCTCTAACAGTTTTCTTTTCTACATGGTTGTTTGTCTTTACATGTTGTGCAGTTTGTGCATGATGTATTGTGTAGCTTACACTGTAATGTCACTTCCTTTTATTCTTTTGTCTCTTTACAACCATCTATACTTCCTCCATACAGGAAATATGCTGCCATTAGTGAGCACAGTGGTTTTGCACTTTGCATAGCAAATCTGTGATCTGCATGTTTTTCACATTACTTTATGTCCTCTATCTTGTCCCCATGTATCAGTATGAATTTGAGGGTAAAGTGCTGGACTTGGAAAAATGCATTAAATCAAAATGCCAATAAATATTTTTAAATCAAAGTTACCTTGTTATTTAAAGTAACAACACTATAACGATTATTTTCCAAGTGTTTTATTTAACAATGTACAATGTTGCATGGCTGTCTCTGAAGCTGCTGAGTTGTTCTATGCACGCAGGTCGGCAGGTGTGTCTGGCTGGCAAGACGGGCTGCTCACTTTGAAAGCTTCAATTTCAAGTAAGGTTTGATTTAACCTTTTGATAGTTGGATACTGCCCGACGTCCACTTTGAACCTGTAGAGATTAAAGGCATAGACAGGTCATGCTTCTTTGTATAGGGTGTTTAAAGTTCAGTGGGTTGGGCATAGCATGCGGCTTCATGTATACGAAAAGGGTAAAAAAAAAAAACATGCTATATACGATATAACAATCAAGTACAAAATGCCATGACATTCACACTAATCTCTTCTTTTTCAGGCTGACGGATTATTAATGTGGTATTTATGTTGCAGATTTTTATTAAATGCCTGATTACGTACCTCTCTGCATTGTAGACTTGTGGCACCAGACAGATGTCTGCCATGGATATCTTAAAAAGTGAGTAATGAGTCAGATAAAAAGTCTCTGCTGTTTAATACACTGTTACAATTTATAGTCGTGCCTCTTACCTCATCACCGACACAATATTTCCCTGCTGTTTGCTTCAGAATGGGCTCAAGAGCTGGAAGAGAAAGGTGCACATAAATCATAAAGGATGTCTAGTGATGATGTCTTAGAATAAAACTGGATGTATAATGGAGAAGATTGGCCTCCACTTACCTTGAAAGCCACGTTCAATGAAGTGCTGAGCCCACTGCACCTTTTCGGCTCCTATTTTCTGAATCACGTACAAATTCTGAAACAACCAGGAATTAATTAAAATAGTGAAGTTGCATAGATTTTCATATCCTCCTATCACACCTGAATTTGCAACCTGCAATACCTGCTTGAGCTGTCTGCTTCAGTTTGGCTGTAATCATTGAGGGTGTTTTCACACTTAGTCCTTTTCAGCTGTCTAAACGGACTCAGAGTGGTGACTCAGCATTTTTTGCGCATATGTCAACGCTCCAAGAAAACTCAGACCCCTCTGAAGACAAGGTGGTCTGAGTTTGGTTCGTTTTAAGTCCATGGTACAGTCCAGAAAGAGTCCTCTTTCAAATGAACTGATAATGTGAATACAAAACGAGCGGAGTCCCTTTTCTGTTGGTCCACTTTTTGGCGCACTTTAGGACTGGGTTCGGTTCGTTTAAAAGGACTCTGTGAAAAAACCCTAAGACTGTGCTGTTCTCACCTGCAGAGGCTGTATCCCAGAGGCAATGACATCACTTATCATCCGGACCTGGGCACGTTTCTTTGGGTCTACTGGGAGAAGCCGAGGCCCTGGCCTGGTCTCGTCGATGTACTGGATCACTGCCAGCTGCAAGGGCAAGAGACCATTTTCATAAGTGTTAAGTGGGTTAACTAAAATCTGGTTTTGTGGGATTACGTGGGTGAAGAGTTTGGGGACTCACTGACTGAGAGAGGGTGATGCCATCAATTTCGACTGCGGGTACTTGTTGCATGGGGTTCAGTGCCTTGTACTGTTCAGTAAGCTGCACAGAGAACTTTTGTGAGATGAATACAGGACTTACACTGACTGCCTCGTGCTAATTACAGGGTTCCCACATGTTTTCATGGACACACTTTAAAAACTTTGTCATGACTTTTCAAGGGCCTTTCCAAATGGTCATTACTGTATGAAAATTAATCGGCAACCTTTTCCAATCTCTAATAGTTGGTTGTATTTATATTCACTTCAAATACAGGCACAGTCATATAAGTACTTAGTGTGCATCAGTCTGGCACTGTCTTTCAAGCATGAGGGAAAACAGTGTGTTCTTCATGCATTTGATTAAAAACTAATTTCCAGATGCAAGTGTGGGGAAAAAACACTGCTGCAACATAAGAATGTAAGCATATGTTTTTTAAGCCTTGGGAGCAGATGTATAAAGTCATCTATGGATGATTTCTGAAACTGTTTCATTACACATCAAAATTCCATGGCTTCTCCAGGCCTGGAAAATGAGATTGTGAAATTCCATTACTGTGGCAACCCTGTAATTATCATACACAGTATGACATGCCTGCACTGATATTGATCATGTGGATCTATACTGTACCTGCTGACCTCCATCTTTTATTAGATTGACTGGAGCCTGGTCATATTCGATACCTTTGAGAGCAAAAGCTGGTGCACAGAAAGTCAATTAGCAAATAGTTTGCATCAAAATAACAGCTAAATAGTAAACTACTGTGGCATGACTTACCAATGCGGACCCTCCAGGAGCAGGAACTTCTGAAGTACCCATGAAGAACAGGCTGCACAGAAAAACAAAATACAACACGTTCAGTCCATTTGGAAACATCACAATGTCCTTCTGCATAGTCAGCCTTCCTTGTGTCTTCACCTTGGTTTGGGTTGCCATAGCTTTTGGGCTCCAGTTTTTACTCAACTAGACTGAATCAACTATTGCAGAAAGTTTTTCTACAGTTTAACAGTCTCATCATCCTCCAGCAGCCAATAGGATGAGCCCCTAAAATCCCTCCTACCTACTCTTTGTTCCATGACTAAGCAACATCTGGCCTTCATATGGTTCACATTAGGTGCACACACACTTAGCAAACAGCTAACAGTTTTGTTACAGTACCTTGGTGAGGGAAGCTAAGGACAAGTGCATTGTTGTGGCTGTGATAACGTTATCGCTTTTATTGTTAGGATAAGTTATGTTGCTTGCTCAAAGAAACGTCGACAATGTCCAGCATTTCCCTCTTAATGTCTTCGACGTTGACTATATGGACATAGCTCCGCTTGTAGACACAAATCTCTGCCTGAATGAAGCTAGCTTTTCTCAATTTTAACAGAGCTGTTCGTCAACGGTTGCATAATTTACAGCCAATTTGGCAAGTCTTTCAGCCAATGATTACTCGAGTTCAACGGCGAAGGCGGGATCATCCAAAACCTCACTTAGCGATTGGATAGAATGCACATACGTTGACCAATCAGACTGCGTTCTTTATGGGTGTGCGGACATGGAGCCAATAGCAAGCCTCTGATTTCCTTAGAGCCCGCCCACAGGTAATACATTTCTATGAGGGCGATATCTAGATGCTGTCGTCAGCTGGTCGCCGTCCCTACTACGGAGTTGTACATATCAAGTACACAGCAACATTTCCACCATGGCGACGACAGCATTAAGATCAGTGCTGAAGGCAAAGGTAAGATTAAAGTGTTTAAAACTCTCCTCAGTTACAAATGGCGCAGGCAGGTTTGACAGCTCACATTGTTTACAAAGTCAATGTGTCATGTGCTACAGAATTTAGGTCTGGGCTGCTTCACACAGTGTTTTATGTTTTTGACAGATTGACTCAACATCTCTTATATTAATAGGATATAGTATGTGACTGTTGGCTTTGTAATAAGACACCATCCTTTATGAGATGATTTATAGTATGAAGCAGTGACCTACTTCAACTATTATGTGTCCTAATATACTCTAAAACAATGAGAAAACTTCTCACTGGACTGCACTCATTCTCCAGTCCACACTGGTCAGCTTGACTTTGTCACCTTCAGGCCCTTTGCATGACTCCACACTTTGCAGTTGCTGATTAATCTTGCAGGCCTACAGGCTGCAACTGGACACAGCTTAGTTTAGTGCATTTAATGTCTTACAAAGTCTGCAAAGCAAAGCTTCAAATGTTGTTTTTGGATAGATGGATAATATTTACTGCATTTGATGATTCCTTTCTTTCTTTCAGGTCCCATTTAAAGTTAGCCGCATGTGCTACTCCTCCTCAGTGGTGAGTTGAGGACACTGTAAACTTAATTGTCAGTCTATTACACTTAAATCAAATGTCATGCATGGATAGTTAGACAGCTGACTAAATGCAGATGTAACGTCACATCTCTCCCCCACAGCCCACAACCAAGCTGTTCATCGATGGGAAGTTTGTTGAATCCAAGACGTCTGAATGGCTGGATATTCACAATCCTGTAAGTACTCCAACTGGGCTGGATTTCCAAACAGTGCACTTTTTTTTAGCTAGGTTAGGCATATCCTGCTAGCTGGAAGGCTTCTTGATGCTATGCAGTTATTTGGCAGCTCTGACATGGTTCAGAGCATATTAAAATTCTGGAGTCTCTCAACCTGTTACCTGTTACATAATGCTTAGGAATGCACCTGTTGAAAACCTGTGTCTGGATGAACAAAGTGTGCAGATTCACTGTACCTTTCATAAAGTATTGACACATCAGAATTAAAACAGTGTAAGATAAATCAAATAACTGCAAAATAACTAAATGTCAAGGGGAAATATTACTGAAACCTCAGCTACACTTGGATAATAAGTAATAACCATACAATCATAAATGTTTTCTGAAAGATCGAATGTGGAAATCCTGTTTTTTTGTATCTGATAAACTCTGACCTGCAGACTGAAGAGAGTCCATGTCTCAGTTAAACATCTGCTAGGATTCACTTGTTACCTAACGCTTGGTGAACTCAAACAGCCCCTGCTGATTAAACTAGAGTTAGCGCATTGATGTAAATTGACTCAACCTCATGGCCCCTTTTTGTTTCCTTTTCTACAGGCCACCAACGAGGTGATCAGCCGTGTACCCAAAGCCACCCAGGAGGAGATGTTGGCTGCCGTGGACTCGTGCTCAAGAGCCTTTCGCTCCTGGTCGGAGACCTCCATCTTGACTCGACAGCAGGTCTTTCTGCGCTATCAGCAGCTTATCAAGGACAACATTGTAAGTCAAAGGGTCAGAAAGTGTAAGGTGCAACTGAAAACAAGTTTATTATTTAGTTCTGTTCAACTTGATTTTATTAACTTAAACAACTGTATCCTTTTTGCAAATCAGCTTTTTAAACTTTTTCCACATTCGTTTAGAGTTTGCTGTTTACATTTGATACTGAAGTTGTCAAAGTATCGATACTTTTTGAATACCATGTGTTTGAACTGATACTATCTCCATTAAGTATACACTCAATGGGGCACCCACTAGCTCACCTGGTGGGGCAGGCGCCCCATGTGTGTGGACTGTGTCCTTGCTGCAGCGGCCACAGGTTCAATTCCAGCCCACAGCCCTTTGCTGCATGTCATTCCCCCGCTGTCTCCCCCTTCCACACTACAGCTGTCCCATCAAATAAAGGCAAAAAGCCCCACAAAATCTTTAAAAAAATGATATACCCAATAGTATCAAAAGCACTTAAGATATTAAAAAAACAAATCTGCAATCAGATTTTCAACCCAAGGCTGCACAGATGAACCAATAGTGTGGGAATCAACAGAGGCCCCATAATATAATATTATCCCAATACAATGTTTTTGAGATTTAAAATGAAAACTGACTATTGTGATAACATATCTTGCGATAAATACTGAAATACTAAAACTCTAGTTCATATTCTATTAAATCCAAAGCTGAGAACAAATGACTGACTTGAAGCTTGTCTTGTGTTTCAGAAAGAACTCGCCAAATCCATCACAGTGGAACAGGGCAAGACCCTCGCCGATGCAGAGGGGGACGTGTTCAGAGGATTGCGTAAGTTTATCTCGCTCACACATGTGCGCGCACACCTTTACAAAGTGCAACAAATAGGTAAACGTTTGCATGTTATGCAGGCCTTTGCTTTGTGGTTGCAGGGATAGTTAATGAGTTATACTAAAGCGGAACAAAGGGCGGCTTTCTTCATGAAGCCCTTGAATGATGATTGCCACTTATTATCGCTGTTCCTTGAACCTTTCACCTATATTGTAGGAAGGGAACTACTGTTTTGAGACCGATATAAAAACATCAGGCTCAGCTGTCTTTTTTCCCACCGCTATCAATTCATAGTTTGACACATCTGCAGACAACCCCAAAACAAAAGGACAAATTAACTTCTGCGTTGTATGTTTTGTTTCTGTCTTTATTTGCAGAGGTCGTGGAGCACGCCTGCAGCATCACCTCTCTGATGCTGGGTGAAACCCTGTCCTCCATCACCAAGGACATGGACACCTACACCTACCGCCTGCCTCTTGGGGTGTGTGCTGGCATCGCCCCCTTCAACTTCCCTGCCATGATCCCTCTTTGGATGTTCCCCATGGGCATGGTGTGCGGCAACACCTACCTGCTGAAGCCATCGGAGCGGGTGCCAGGTTGCGCCATGCTGCTGGCCAAGATGCTGCAGGATGCCGGTGCGCCAGATGGGACGCTTAATGTCATCCATGGCCAACACGCTGGTGAGTTGGTCTTTGTGGCATGTAGCTGGTCACTGTCAGAACATTATGTTTTATGTTTGAATCTAATCTGTAGTGTAGATACAAAGCAGCATTTATAGAGAACAAGGAAGGGAATTTATAGGGCCGTATTTACACCAATGACATTGTTGATTCTGCTTATCACTCATACTCTTTATTGATTCCCCTTTTGATTCCTGATCTATTTTCTGTGTAGAAAAAAGTAGGCCTACACAGGTTTTCAGCATCACCACAACTGTTTTTATTATCTCTGAGTCTGAACACAGTGTACGGACATGAGTGAATATTTGTTCAGCGTTCAATTTTATTTGGGTTTATTTGCCTGCCTGCATGGTGCTTATGTTTGTAAGACAGGAAATTTACCCCCCGCTAACAGACGTGGTGCTCAGAATGGAAGCAGTGACATTTGTGCGTAAAAGTGTCAAAAACAGTTAAGCCCATGTTGTGTAGAAAGATGTTTCAGCATATTGCTGGTGTTTCAACCCTTACTTAAAATTTTACAGACATACAAGCAGCACCATTTTCATGTTTCTTAGTTCCTCTCCACCGTGACTCCTCCTTGTTGCAAGTTTCCAGCAGAGTAGACAAATGAGTTTGACCTTTTCTCGTGACGGGGGTGAAGTTCTTGTCCATTAAGCATCAAAATTTATGATGGTAAAATTTGTCTCTGCCATGTGCTGTTGTGGCACAATGACTTTTTTAAAATCAATAGTTGGACACCTTGGTTATATACAATTGTTTGGTTTTGTGTGTAGTTTGTAGCCTTTGTTCCCTCTGACATTCAACTGATCAATACAAATCTATTTTGTAAATCAAACAGGCTAATGACTGGCTACCTATTAAGCTACCACTAAACAACAAAGCTTCTAATCTATTTTTATTAAAACTTTTTTTTTTTTTTATTGTTTTCATCTTGACAAAATACATCAGTTTTCATCTGTACCTCTGTGGTATACTTTTGAGGATTGTTGGTTACCACTTGTAAACATGCTTGCAAGCTAAAGTGACAGTGAAAGCCAATTTAATTTAGTTTGTCAATTACACACAGGTCTGAACACACACATGAACAAACTGGACCTATACATGCACTAAGTGGAGAGATGTCAGAGTGGGCATGACAGGTGCTCCGAGCGGTTGGGGGGATCGGTGCCTTGCTCAGGGGCACCTCGGCAGTGCCCAGGAGGTGAACTGGCACCTCTCCAGCTACCAGTCCACGCTCCATATTTTTTGGTCCGGACGGGGACTTGAACAGGCGACCCTCCGCTTCCCAACCCAAGTCCCTATGGACTGAGCTACTGCCGCCCCAATCCCAGATTCACTCGTTTGGCGTTGCACCTCAATATATTTGTCTTTTTTTGCCACTGTCTCTCTTGGATGTCTGCTGCTTACAGTCCTTTTTATAAAGCCCCAACCTCACCTGAGCACTGTGGGGTACACGCTCATAAATTTCCCAATCACAGAAAATAATTACAAATAAATAAATAAATAAATAAATAAATAAATACAGGCAGAGGGCAGAGTCTCTGCAGAAAAATACATTGCCACACACTACTACCGAGTCATTTGTGATGATTCAGAGGGATTACTTCTGTATAAGTCTACATTGTTTTGCTTCAGTACGTTGTTGCATGTAATAAAATTAAGCAATGAGGCCCATCACAAATTGTTAAAGCACAAGATTTCATGTTAAAATGACTCACTTAGTGATGGTGTGCAAGAGCAAGCTCATCTTAGCATTTGTTAACCTTTACTCAGCAAATGTCCTCTTTTGTTACTTCATAACTGGCCACTATCTACATAAATGACAGTTTATAAAATTGTCTTTTGTCAAGGTATTTGAAATATCAGTGATTATCAGTTACTTTGGTTGATTATTGGATGTCTGCGCTAATACAATTTCTGTAACTGTCTTCTTGCCACAGCTGTGAATTTCATCTGTGACCATCCGGCCATCAGAGCAATCAGCTTTGTTGGCTCAAATCAAGCTGGGGAGTACATTTACGAGAGGGGCTCTAAAAATGGCAAGAGGGTTCAGTCCAACATGGTGAGTGTAAAATGAGAAATCAACATTTCTCATCATGTCATTTTAATTGACCGTCTGGAAACCTGGGTTGTCATCAAGGACACTGCACTTAGCTGGTTTTATTCCTACCTTTTAGATAGAACTTTTGCTGTCACCATAGGTAATTACACATCCTCGAAATCTCAGATTACTTGTGGTGTACCGCAAGGTTCAATTTTAGGTCCAATTTTATTTTCTATTTATATGCTTCCGCTCGGTCAGATCATCCGCCGCCACAACGTGTCTTTCCATTGCTATGCGGACAATACACAGATATACCTCCCGCTGAGACTGGATGACCCAAGAAGCCTAGCTGCTGTGTTAGATTGTCTCAACGATATCAACTGTTGGATGGCCCAAAACTTTCTTCAACTCAGTAACTCCAAATCCGAAATCATACTGTTCACTCCCCCAAACTCCACCAGTCCCATTGAAAATAGCCTTGGTCCCCTGTCCGTTAACGTCAAATCCGCAGCCAGAAACTTAGGAGTAATATTCGATCCAGACCTCAACTTCCAACCTCATATCAATAAAGTTGTCCAGTCCTGCTTCCATCAGTTAAGAACTATCTCCAAAATCAAACCCATGCTCCCACATTCTGACTTAGAAAAAATAATCCACGCATTCATCTTCTCCAGACTCGATTACTGTAACTCACTCCCCTCTGGCATAAACCATAAATCACTTTCCCCCCTCCAACTGGTCCAGAACGCAGCAGCTAGGCTTCTGACTGGTTTTAACAGACAGCATCACATCACCCCAATCCTGGCTTCCCTCCATTGGCTACCTGTGCATTTTAGAATTGATTTTAAGATTTTACTGATCACTTATAAAGCCCGTCTGGGTCTGGCCCCAAGTTACATAGCAGAAATGTTGACCCCATATGAGCCAGTACGCAGCCTTAGATCCTCGGGCAGGGCCCTCCTGGCCGTTCCAAAGTTGAGTCTTAAATCTATAGGCTTCCGCTCTTTTTCCATCAGGGCCCCTCGACTTTGGAATGACCTGCCTGAGGAGATAAGGCTTGCAGAATCAGTAACATCTTTTAAATCTCTTCTTAAAACCCATTTTTATAGACTCGCCTTTATGTGATGTCGTCTTTTTCTTTTTATTTGTTCTTTTTGTTTATTCTTTTTATTTATTTTATTCTATTCCTTTTAATTGTTTCTTCTTTGTTATTCTATTGTCATTATGCAATGTTGTCTTTTTATCCTTCTAGTCGTTTGTTTCTAGTATTTAGAAATAATAGTTTTATTGCCTTTATTGTTCTTATCTCTTTTAACATTCTGTCTTATCATTCTGTCTGTTTTGCGTAACTTTACCTTTTTTGACTCTCTTGCTATAGATATTCTTGCGTTTGCTTTGTTTGTCAAAGCACTTTGTAAACTTTTGTTTTTAAAGGTGCTATATAAATAAAGTTACTATTATTTTTTATTAATAACGTGTAAGTGTCTTACACTTCCTGTAAATGTCCAGAAGGTGGCAGCATTGGCCAAGAGATTCACAAGGTTCTCGCTCCTCCTCACTGCCAGCTGTACAGATGCGAGAAGGTGCACAGCAGAGCCTGCAGCTGTGCATCACTGTTCAAGTTATAAATGTTCCATCTGTTTATATCGGTTTGCATCCATCAATCGTCTCTTTTACATGCACTAAAATGTGGAACAGATTAACTATATAAAACTTGTAATTTGTTTGTATGTACCTCCCTGATACTATGTTCTCACTTGTGACGAACCAGCTGCTGTAATGGTGAGATCAAACAGCAGAAGGCTAACCACTTCTCTTGTACTGCAGGGAGCCAAGAACCATGGTGTGGTGATGCCTGATGCCAACAAAGAGAACACTCTGAACCAGCTTGTGGGGGCGGCTTTCGGGGCAGCGGGACAGCGCTGCATGGCTTTGTCCACAGCCATCTTGGTGGGCGAAGCACGGAATTGGCTGCCGGAGCTGGTGGAGCGCTCCAAGGCTCTGCGCGTGAACGCAGGTACCGCGCCCCGTCACCCCACCCTTCACCTCGGGCTCTCCTGAACCCCTTTTCCCCAAGGGCCTTTGGTTTAGTCATGCCGTGGCCACCCACGCCGCCCTAACCACACCTCTCGCCTTTTGCCCTGTTGTAACTTCACATTGGAGTCAGCTGGGAGCGAGGGCTCGTTGAGTCAGCCCTGTTGCAAATTTGTGGCCAGATCTGCGGCCCAAGACTAAATGGTGGTTCAGAGAATCAAATCCTTTTGAGAAGGGAAGTTGATGTGGAGTAAAATAGAGAATGATTATCCCTGTTTAAAGAGATACGGGCTCTCATTTCTGCAGCGCACAGGAAACCCATAAGTACCCATTTTTGAGGGAGTGCCTCAGGGTGCCCCTTGTCCCATCTTCTGCGTTTTTGTGGCAAAAGACGTATGTGAATGTCAGTGCCAGTAATGTGCTCACATCATGTGAGTGCCATTGTATGTAACCTTATAGCTGGTTGTTTTTGGGGCCCTGCTAGGAGACCAGCCTGGTGCAGACGTGGGACCTCTGATCTCTCCGCAGGCCAAGGAGAGAGTCTGCAGCTTGGTGCAGAGTGGCGTGGACGAGGGAGCGAAGGTGCTCCTGGATGGCCGAAACGTCAAGGTCAAGGGTTATGAGAACGGCAACTTTGTGGGTCCCACCATCATCGGCAATGTCACAGTACGTGTTGAACGTCTTTACATGCACATATGTATTTGCATCTGAGCACCATTAACTACTACGTGAAATTAAAATGACACCTTTATGCTCTCCCAGCCCGAGATGAAGTGCTACACTGAGGAGATCTTCGGGCCTGTGCTGGTTGTTCTCGAGGCAGAAACTCTGGATGACGCCATCAATTTGGTCAACAGGAACCCCTATGGCAACGGCACAGCTATCTTCACCACAAATGGCGCCACTGCACGCAAATACACTCACGAGGTGGACGTGGGCCAGGTTAGTGGCTGCAGCCTCCAAATGTCTTCCTCTGTTTTGGGAGAAAGGGGACATTCACATCCCTCTGTCATGTCTGTGCAGCATCTCAAGTAGGGAGAACATCACATTTCTGTTTGGACACCTTCACACACGTTAAAAAAACAATTATTTTCCATGTCAAGTATAGCCTTATTTGCCCTTAACCTAATATACACACATTCGGCAACCCCCTTCTCTCCACTTCCCCACCAGTCCAGGCTACAAATAGCCACAGCAAATATGTGTCCGTTAAAAGAAAACAGGAGGACATAGAAACATTTTTCCAGGTAGAATTCGATGAGGGGAATCTTAAATTAAGCTCAAAAGGGATTCCTAGGGACCTGTTCAACGTTAAAAGTGGAAATATGGCCAGCTTTTACCCTGTTTGTTTGCCTGTGGAGCCTTAGTTATGCCCTGTGTTTGCTGTTCACATGTCGGGGAATGCTGTGCAGGCCATGTGCTGTACTCCTCTCCAAACCTCGATGCAACAAACATCTACTTTTCCTTTTTTTCCCTCCCTGCACCTTCGCCAAAAGGCCCTCGTGTGTCCAAACCTATTCCCGCTGTTTCAAACATTCTAAACCAACAATGCCAAGCCCCTATTGCCTTCATAACAAAATGTTTTATTTAGTTTTTCTTCCCTGTCATAAGAACATGCTGTGCTTTCAAAACTGCATACATAAGCCACAGGTTTAGCTTTGTTTAGTGAGATCATGTAAGCTTGTTTTTTAAACAGCACGGATATACCACATCTCTCATCAGCTGCATCTTACTCATCATAGCAATTTAGGAACCTAGGGAATTGCTTTACAAAGCTTGCACTTATGGAAATGAAAGGGAAAATACTTGTTTTCTGCAGGTCGGAGTCAATGTTCCCATCCCGGTTCCCCTGCCTATGTTCTCCTTCACTGGATCAAGAGGATCCTTCAGAGGCGACATGAACTTCTACGGAAAACAAGTATGACATAAACAAATGCGTCCTATTGTTGCAGAAATACACAGATGCAGCAGTCGAAGTTTTAAATGTTTTTATTTTGTTCTCCGCAGGGCATCCAGTTCTACACACAGATCAAAACTGTAACATCACAATGGAAAGCTGAAGACGCCACCCTGAAAAGTCCTGCAGTTACCATGCCCACCATGGGACGCTAAATACTCCAAGTGCTGCTGTTCAGTCTGATAAACCAGAAAACACTCTTCTCCCACATACAAGACAATAACATGTCCAATGTGAATAGTTCATCAACAGAAGTTATTAAATAATACTCCCCCCTTTTAAATACTTGATATTAGATGTATTTATATATAGATACTCTGTAAATGTAAACCACTGTGACCATGATTTTAACAACAGATCTGTACAGCTGAGATGTTACTGGATCAATATCATTTCATCAAATACAACACCAGTATTCAAACTCTTGTGTAATTGCACTTTAGTGGATCTCATCCCCATAAATTGAACACTGCATTGTATTCCACTGATCTAATGATTGCATAGCAGAGTTGGGACCAAGTCATTGTTTTGCAAGTCACAAGAAATCTTTGCACTCGGGTCCCAAGTCAAGACAGGCAAGTCCCAAGTCCTAAACTTTGAGTTTCTAGTTGTAAACGATTCATAATGAGCTCCTCACCTGATGTAAGGCCATTTTATCACTGACCCTGAATATACTTTTTAATGTTTTGGATTGGTGGAACGTATCAGCATTTTTAAGTCAAACGGCTCAAGTCCCAGTGAAGTCACGAGTCATTGATGTCCAATTCCAGTTAATTTTGACTCCCAAGTTGTGTGACTCGAGTCCACACCTCTGTTGCCTAGAGATCTTGTATATTATGTTTTAGTATCAGCACTTTGTGTTTTGTTTTGAGGGAACAGCTCCTTTAAGTGGGTTGTGACCGAATTTAAACAAGTTTCGTGTATGACAGAGTATTCACAAGCCATGTATACATCCATGGTAAGATATTTATGAACACAAACAAACATCTCGCATTCTACTATGCACATGATTGACACCCTGCGGGAAGCGCACAAAGCAGGGGCAAACAATCCAGAGTGTGATGTGCAATGCAGAGGCCGCACAGAGGTCATGTGGTGTGTATATCCGGCCGGCTGTTTGGGTTCGAGGGCAGAACGGACTCAGGCGCCTGGGTGATGAAGGTCGCCGGGGAGAGCTCCTCTCTAATTCTGGAAGACAGTCATCATTATGCAACGCTAAAATGCAACTGTCTGATAAATCACACATAGGCACTCGTGTTCTCACAGCCAAAGGTTTTCCAGCTAAACATGGAATGTGGGACCAATAAATCTGCGCAGGCTTCATAATTGCAAGGATGAGGTACAACTTTTAATCTCGTACATTCCTTTAGTGTCTTACCCGGCAGCTTCGCTGTCAATAAGGCTCTTCTTCTCAGAGAAGGTGGACAAAGCCAGATGTTGGCTGGCTTTCCTATCAGGAAAATACAGAGTTGCAGTTACATACAGAACCTCACAGTGAAAAGCCATGTTTTAGCACACTGGTGTCTATTCACTCAGGCCTGCTGCCTGTCTTGGAAAGGGGGTTACTCTGGGTCAACACGATGCACATGGACTTGGAGGCTGCTAACTGAGTCGCCAAATGTTCTGTGTTATTCTGCCGGACTAGGTGCCAGACCACTGTTAACATGAATATATATCTCCTCTTGCCTGCCATACCCCCATACATTCAGATCCCCTGCACACTGCTTTTTTGAAAATTATGTTACCAGCTGCTCCCTGACCACAAGCGTTCAAAGAAACAAAATAAACTGCTGGTGCACGTGAAGAGGGGCCAATAGGCTGAGAGCAAATCGACGTGACCAGATGTTTGTTTCCAAGCACACGACTCTGCGGCTGGGCCTATTTTTACTATTGTGCCCAGACTCTTTCTTCATTCTTTTTAAGCAGCTGGATGGAAAAGAAAATTGGTTGAAGCCTAACTGATGTTTTATGGTATCCTCTTCTGCTCAGAAAATGGCTGTTTAAAACATTAAAAAGAGGGAGGAGTCACCAGAAGTTCAGCCTGAATTACTGCTTGGTGTCACTGTGCTTTGTTCTTCGGGACGTAATTGATCCACAAGTTTCAGTCCATTTTCAGGCATCACAAATGGATTGCAGAGTATTACTTAGGATGAAGTTGCTGAGTGGTAAACGTGTAACGAGCAAGTCTTGCTGAGACAAACATTACACAGTTATTCAGAGGTTTTATTACCTTTCCCTGCGTCCATTCATTTTAGCAAAGAGTAGTCTGAGCACTTGTTCTTTCTGCTCCCAAGTGAGATCTGAGATTTCAACTTTGCTGTCTGGTTGATGAGTCCTTAAAACAGGTGGATGAAATTAAAATGTATGTTACTCCCTGGAATTGTACACATTCTTTTACATATATTGACTGTATTAAATTGAACCATAAAGAGTGTTAAAAGAATACTTCACCCAGAAAATGATCATATGCGCTCTGCTTGAACAGAGTTCAAATGGGTGCGCATGCCAGGCCGGGCATTAAATGTTTGGCACCATTGTTTTAAAATGTATGGTTTTAGTGAAAATACAGGTGTTTGGGAATTACTGAGCATACGGCTGGATAAATGAGACTTGGATTATACTATACGAGTTGTATAAGAGTTTGTATAGGGTTGTTTTTTTATATAGTTTTACTGTTGGTAAAGGCTGCCCCCCATTTACTTCAATTCATGAAGAATGTTCGCCCTTGTCACCATGGAGGCATGCGAGAAAAGCAATGTTTTCTTCATGAATTCAATCTAACACGTTGAGTGACTGATACACAAATGGTCATTTTGTGGGTGAAGTATTCCTTTAAGGTGAGATGCCCACTGAATTAGCTGCAGGTGTCTTGGTGCTGAAAAACATGAATTAAAAATATCACAAAGACACACACAGCTGTATAAGTCATGGAAATGATGGGAAATGGACCTACCACCTTGCAGCCGCCTCCATGTCTGAGTAGACAGAGTTGGTACTGTGGGGGCTTTTATGAAATGTGCGGATGGGTGGGAATTTGAGTTTTCCTGCTGTGGCTTCCTTCAGCCTCCAGCGATAAGCCTGCACTGCCTCCTTTTTGTATTGCAGCCTGCTGGCCATGATCTCCTGCTTCACCTGAGCCAGTGTCTCATGGAAGAATTGCTCCAGCTCCGTGCGCTGCTCTATGATGGTTTTCGCTAGTCGCTTTATGTGCCCCAATTCCCTCTCCCGCATGGAGAGCACTTTCTGCAGCTTCTCCAGCTCTACCTGGCTGGCCTGGATGCTGACCAGTGTCTTCTCCTTCTCCTCCTTCTCCTCTCGGTCAAGCTCTCCAGCTTTTAGCTCTAGGGCCTGCTCCAGGGAAGCTACCTTGGCCCGCAGTTTAGATAGCTCCTTATTTTGGGCCTCCATCTGAGCTGCATTTTTCTTCACTGTCAACTCAAACGTGTTCTGAGTGAGCAAATAGAAGAGAAAAGTAGTAAAATAAATGACACTGAGCTAACTTTAGAAAAATGCTTTCATTTTCGTGCCAATATACTATAGAGGTGGAACAGATAATGGTTTGTGTGCTAGCCAGTGCCGCTGAGTGAGTGACCAAAGCTTCAACATGGTGGATTTACCCCCTTCATTTACTGTCATCATCAGAGGTAAGATTAATGTGCCCAATATTTATTTGTCTTACAGAACCAGTGCCAGAAACCTGTGAAGGAGAAGCCACTGAATTTGAACCCATACACCAGTGGAAACTCACCGCAACCACTGACCACTGAGAGGCTAGGTAGTAGTCAGGAGATGGGGGGAGAGGGGTAGGAGTCAGACCGCAAGCAAAATAAACAGGGTCAGCACAAGTAAACAACACAAGGGAAAAACCACCTGAAATATATTCTGCACAGGTCTGACAAGTGGTTCATAACTGAAATGAGTGAAAATGACTTTATGAAGATGAATGGTCTCTATCCAAGGACTGCCGGTGCCTAATAGTAACACTGCTGTTTGCTGTCCTTTGGTTCAAACATACCTTGTCCAGTGCCAGGGAGGCATTTTCCTTGACCAATGAATTTGTCAATATCTGCAGGTCCTCTGCCTCCTTAATGTGAAACTTCAGTGCTTCATTGAGACGGACGTTCTCCTTGAACACAGAGTGTGAGGCATCATCCAACTGCCTGAAATTTAACAGGACAAACAAAAAGGCCTCTAAAAAGATTGTCTCTGCTCATGAACACATCCCTATGAATCTCAATTTGATGCCAAACATCTTTGTATGCATTTAAAGGAATAATTCACCCCTCAAATTACTCACCCAGTGTTACCTTTAATATGTGAAGAAAACTTTGTTTTACTTGCATGCCTCCACAGTGAGTTGTACAAGTTGTAGGGGATAGCATCTAACCTAAGGTTGGGTACCCAACTCAGTTCTTTTAAGGGTATACATCGGTACAACGGAGTAGTGATTCTTATGAAATCTGTCTGTGCCAAATGCCGGTACTGAGGGCGCATCTGAGTGAGAACTTCAGGTTTAACAAGCAGGGGAAGTGCTGTGAAGTGCCCCAAAGCTAGGAAACATCCATTGGCTTCCCAGTAAGTCAAAACTATTGCTGCAGCGTCAATCTGCCACAGTAGTTTCAACATCTGGTCTATTTCCTTTTCTAAATTATTATGTTAATAGCCTAGTATCACTGCTAGATGAGCAGACACACACACACACACACAAGTAGACAGACAGACTGAGGATTAGCTCTACATTTAATTAGAAAAGAGCAGAGTCACATTTTAGTCTACTACGTCACCACTGCAACATTAATCAAATTTTTGTCATTACAGAGTAAGTAAAGTACCAACAAAAGTACTGTTGGGTACCGGTGCTGAATTCCAGGTGACAGTATCACTTCAAATATGAACGGTAACCAACCCTACCAACAAAATCAAAACTTCCATTCACAACCTCTCACACAACTTGTGCATTATCATCCAGGTTTATCCAGTCGAATGCTCAGTACTTCCCGAACACATTCATTTTTGCTAAAACTGTAATAATTAAAACAATTCTGTATAAACAGTTTCATGCATGGCTTAGCAGTGAGCCTGTCATGTTTATGCTTAAGTGTTTTAAATCATTATGTTTGAGCAAAAATGCATGTGTTCGACAAGTACTGATCACACAACTGGAGACATGGATTATACCGCACAAGATGTAAGACAGAGTCAGCACATGTTTTGAGACTTCAATTCATACAGAATTTTCTCTGTTTTTGGATTCTTCGTTTAACGCGGAGGCATGCAAGAAAAAAAAAACATTTTTTTCATGAATTCAAAGTAACACAGGGTTGATACACAAATGGTCATTTGGGGGGTGAAGATTTCCTTTAATACTTATTTTAACCAGCATGGAGCGTAAGTCTGAGTTGAATAAAACAAATGCTTTCTTGTATATTTGAAGACTTGTTAATCAGTTATGGTGGTACTGTGACTTCTGATGATGTAGAGCATATCGCACTTTTTTGCTCTCAGTTTCTTGGTTCCCACACATAAAATTACTGGGTCAGTGTACTTGACTTTTAAAGACATGCTGTGTTCAAAATTAAATCAATTACTAAGACTAGGACCAAACCGGCAGGACCACACCAGTATCAATGCTGATGTTTTATGAGCTGTAAAAAAATAACTAAACACAGTGGAGGGGAAATATACATCTTATGGCCTCAAAGGTAATAAACTATGGGCTTCCCTACACGCGTTACACACTCCTCGTCCTGGGGCGGCTGAGGATGTGATCATTGGCTTCAGTGATGTACACTATCTGAACATGACCAGCCAGTGTGGTCAAGAAAATAACATTAGTTCTAGTTATATATATATTTATATACATAAACTCTTGTGTGAGTAAATTATTTTTTCTTTGCGTTCTGAGGACATCAAAGAGCAGTGTTAGAATAAAATTAGATTGTAAAGGGACTGCGGAAACACACTCACACAATTGCCTCATTGTGGGCCCTCTCCACCACCACGGTTATCGTTTGCTCGGCTTCCTTCTCCAGGCGATCCTGCGGGGAAATTTGCAAAACTCAATTGATGTTCCACCGAGGACAATATTGAACAGGGGGTCTCGTCTTCACAACTATCTGTTTGACTTTTAAATTAAATCTATTTTACTGTGATTTCACCTCATTATTAGTCAGTATCTTCCAAACTGATTTAAGTAGGATCATTTGACTCGACCATACCTTTTCTTTGAAGAATCTGTACTCCAATTTGTTTAGGTTTTCCCTGTGCTCCTTGTCGGTAACATCCATGTTTTCTCTAATCTACAAAATAAAAAGGTCATGGTCACTGGTTGCATTAACATCCTGACAGTAGGAAACAATACTGTGTGTCTCCCCCTTACATCAATGAGTTCTTGTTCCATCTGGGCTTTCTTCTTCTGAAACGCCTCGATTTCCCTCATCCCATCCTGGATCATGTTAAAATCTCTGGATTTCTTTCTGAACAGTTCCTTCATCTCATTGATTTGAATCGTGTAATCATCAACCTGTTGAAACAAACCATAGTAGATACACAGAATAAGAACACATGCTGTATAATAAATGCATGCCTTAACTGTAAAAATGCGCTGTTCAGCTACATACTACAGATTCTGCAAAGTTCCCATAAGTGCAGCTTGTATCAGTCAGGGAAGAAGATTTTCATACCAAAGTTCACACAGGCCATACTCTGTTGCAAACCAACTTCAGCACAGATCAGTCAGGCTAAATACCTCAAGATGCTACTGTGGAAAAGCCAGTCTGAGCAAAAATGTGACAAAATGACCAAAGTCATGAGAGACTAGCAAAACACGCACCCACAAACATGTACATGACGACTAAATGAGAGGTTATCGAGCATCTGATTACAACTTTAGGCCTAATCGTTATTCTTCACATAACTCTGTATATGTTCATCTCCATCAAATCAGGGCACCAGTCTTTATACAAGTTGGTTTGCATCATATGCAATTTTCACCCAGTGTGAAATGATCCACTTCCCAGAAAATATCCCACAGTGTGAATTTCAGGGAAGCCAGAGGGAGCTTGGCTCCTCTTAATAAGACAAGACATCCATCTATTCATTATATGTAACCACTTATCCTAGACAGGGTCGCAGGTGGACTGAAGCCACCTACAAAAACATGATTTGTAAACTTTTGGGTGGTCTCAAAAATACTGACAATATGCTCTTTTTCAATGCATTTCTATTTTTCTGTATCTTCATCATCAAGGATCATGTGTAGAATTAGGCTTTGTAGTCAGCATACAGATAACCTGTGAGGAGGTTTGATGTGGCGGCGTTATGTTTCAAGAACAAAAATTATTGTGGCTGAGTCCATTTTTAAGTGTCTGCCCCAGTGACAGCCCTGGCCTGAGGCGTTTGTTGACACTGTTTGTTTTTGGGTTGTCCCATTCTCAGAAGCACTTCGAGGGAATTTCCTCAAATTTGGCACAAACGTCCACTTGGACTCAAGGATGAACTGATCCGATTTTGGTGGTCAAAGGTCAGTGTGACCTCGCAAAACACGCTTGTGGCCACAGCTTAAGAATTCATACACTAGTTATGACAAATGTTCACACAAATGTCCAATAAGATAAAATGATGAAGTGACATTTTATATCCAAAAGGTCAAAGGTCAACTTCACTGTGACATCATTTTGCAAACACACTTCTCTGTCTGTTAATCCATGCCATAGCTCAGGAGTATTTGGTCAGAGACTGAATTGGTGACACTTATTTTGGGTGCTCATCTTAAAACTGCCAGATGAGATATGTAATCCCTCCAGCATGTTCTGGGTCTGCCGAGGGGCCTCGTACCAGAATCATCACCTTAACATGGTGGAGGGGTTTGCACGTCCCTGTAATCCTGGGGCCTGGTTGGGCGCAGTAACATGGAGCCACAATCAGTTAGTTCTCAACTATTAAATTAATTGTCGATTCATTTGGGTTTGAGTCATTTTTAAGGGGAAAAAAGTCCAAATTCTTCAGTTGCAGCTTCTTAAATGTGATTATTCTCTAGTTCTTTACTCCTCTATGACAGTAAACTGAATATCTGTGGGTTATGGACAACATATGACATTTGAGGACATCATCTTGGGCTTTGAGAAACACTGATCGACATTTTCCCCCATTTTCTGACATTTTTGTAGTCCAAACAATTTATTGACAGTGAAAATAATTGTCAGTTGTAGCCCTAGCTAAGGCAATTTTCTAGATGAGCCATTTTGTCATCTCATAATCAGAAATGGGTCATAAATAGTATGTGTTTAGAGTCGACCACATGATAGTATCCTTTTCCCCTAACTGGACATATATGACAGTTCTACGTCTAAAATAGGGATGTTTCAAGTTGGTCCAGACCAGGCCTCTTTCTTCCCTCCCCAAAAGCTTTTTGGACTCCATTTTACCAGCATGAAGTAAGAGCTGGGAGATGGAAAACAGCTGCTGGCAAAAGCTTTTTTGTACCTTTTTTTGTCTAGTAAAGCCACTCGAATTTTGTCATGTCAGTTTGATCGCTTGATCTTAACTACAAGCAGCAGAGGTCAGTGAGGATAAAAGGAGCCAAATGGGCTTGTTTGGTGTGTGTTATGTAACTTAAACTGGCATTTTAGAGTAAGGATCTGTGTGACATGTGAGGTATGGTTAACACATCAAGACCAGCAGTGTGACTGCCTTTTCCCAAGCAAGCACTTTTAATTTTTCTGTGGCCACTAACACAGATCAAAATAGCATTAGACCATGTAACTCGGAATGTGAGGGTTTGTTTTTTTGTTTTATGGCCGCTTTGTTTGGTTGTTGTTTTCTTACATAATAAACGTCAACATAATTACACACAGGACAGCTGTTAAGACGCAGTGCAGCACATTTTTTAGATGCTACGGGTTTAAGTTGTACATCAGTAAATCACAGTAACTCTACTATGAACACTGAGCATGTTTTGTGAGCCAAAAAAGCTCAAGTTGCATTTCTTTTCTTGTTGCTGTGTTTTGAAATGAACTCACCAGTTTCTTTTGCTCCTCACGTGCACGTGCGTCCTGACTTTTGAGGCTCCTCTGCAGCATATTGATCTGTTAAAATACCTTTGTTGAGTTAATTATTCATTTTACATTGTGTTCATTTAGCTACACATGTAAAACTAAAGTGTCTGCACGACCTTCTCCTCTTTAGCTGCATTTTCTCTCTTCAGGAAACCAGTTATATCGATGGAGTCCTTCTCCGCGCGGTACAGGTGGTCGGTGAGCTCTTGGTTAGCGCGTGCCAACTTGCGGGAAGCCTCGCGGTATTCGCTGAGCGACTGCTCGGAGGCCTTTAACCTCAGCTCCCACAGGGCAGCGTTGGCTTTGGCTTTCTCGATATCAGACTCTTTCTCCGCCTTTGAGTCCTGTTTGCCGTCTTTCTTGCCTACCCTGTGACAAAAGAAAGTAGTTTGAGCTGCAGGTTTGTGCGTCAACGCAATAAAAAGTGTACAAATGCACGTGCATCTTACCCTGCTTTCGCCCTCTTTACTTTGGTGACCTTCTTCTTCGGCATCACTGCTACTGTTAAAATACTAAAACACTATAGAAAACTAGCACAGGTAGGCCTAGATGTGTCTGGGATTTCACCAGTGTGGCTAACAGGAGAGGTGTCCAGCTTCTGTGTGACCCGCTGAATGTTTGTGTAGTGTTGTTGCCATGGAGACGCTGTATCCGAGGAAAGGTCAAATTTCTTTGCTACAGAACTTCTGGTAACATATTAAAGCCTGCTACTGTATATTTAATACACACAGTTTTAACCTCAAGCTTGTTTGCAAAGCATTTATTGTGTGTAAATCCTGGTGTGGCATTTGATCATCATCTGAAATACATTTAAAAAGTAGGGGAGACCAGGGACAGTTGCAACAGCTCTAAGGGCCGGGTCAAACAGGGGCACTGCACTGCCTTTATTTGTAATTTGAATGCCACTACTAAAAACACACTTGCTGCGCCTTTTTATTGTTGTCAGGCAACCACTCCATCACATCCTTACACTAACCTTCCCATGTAATCAATCTACTGTTTTTTTTCTCTCCACAGTAATTAGTAGCTAAATGGACAGGCTGAGAGGGTACTTGCTTTAGCTGTGAGAGTGAGAGGCTATCAGCAAATAGTTTGTTGGGCACAGGGAAATGTAAATCTTTGTGTATATGGGACCTTAATAAAGAGGGTGGAGCATGGGGAGTACCACCAGCTGGTCCAGGAGCTTCGCCTTGATGATGGCTGTCTCCAGGCATATTTTAGGATGACTCAGGGGCAGTTTGACAACCTGCTGTCTATCGTCGGGCCATGTAGTTTTGGGTATCCAGCAGCTACTACCACCAGTTTCTCCTCCATTGTTTGCCAACTTTAAACTTTAAACTCAAACTGTGGTCTCTCAAATCATCCGAACAAAGAGATGATGTGGGGGCTTTTCCACTCTGAGTTGAAGTTTTTTCAACTTTAGAAGTTTAAAGTGCTCTGGTAGAAACGCTGGGCACCTAGAGTGCAGAAACGCAATGCAAGTCACAACGCAAAAACTGTGAGCATAAAGCTTAATTCTCATCAAAAACAATGACAAAAAAGCCACCTCCAGCTGCTAAAATGCTTTTTGTGTGATCGGGGCCTCATTCTTCCAATTTGGAACATGCTAGAGTAATGATACCACCGATAAACCGAGACAGCCGACTTTAGATTAATTTCCTGTATCTGTGCAAGGAAACTATATGGCGACAGTGATGGCATTTGCGGAGCCAGACTTTGGTGTCAGTTCTGTTGGAGTCAATGAGGAATGCATGGCAAATCACACTCATCATATCTTTGTGATTTCAGCTTTGACTGAAAATCCTTCCACCAGATTAAAAAACAAACAAACACACAACCTGATGTTTACTGACATTTTTTAACTTTATATACACACTCGTTTTTCTGTCTCCATACAGACCATTGCTCTGTCCCTCTGTCCTGTAGAGGCTGAGATGCAGCCCCCCCCCCCCCCCCCCCCCCCCCCCCCCCCCCCCCCCCCCCCCCCCCCCCCCCTTTCGATCTATGTCTCTCTCATGCACCTACTGAATAATTTTCTTTTTCACAAATAATTGAGTCAGTTGAGTCAACAACTGTACCCAGACATGAAGCACATAGGATTAATATTGGGATCTTAACCTGCTAGTAACCTAACATAGAATAAAACAGGCTGTAACACTATACAACATTGCAGCTCTGATGCCAATTTATGATACTGATTAATTTATGTTATGCAATGCATATATGCTCCATGCTCGACTCCTGGCTGTCTGACTGGCTTCAATCTTAGCAACTATTTGGGGAAAGACATGACAGTGTACTCCAGCTGCACAACCAGTCACCCACTTGGCTCTAGCTGTGTTTAAAGACGAATCCTTGTACAGGGGCGGATTAAAGCATCTGGCCTCTTTGAAAGGGGTGTGAGGGGCCTCAGAGAGCCTTCACTGCTTTCTCATAAAAGTTCAGTCTCATAATCAATTTATTTAGCCAGTGAGTGGGGGTTGGTTGGCACACTGATTTTGGTGGGGTTAGCTCATATGCCAGTTGTATTTTGAGAGATTAAAACTATTTTGAAAGATTGAAACCAATGTTTTAATTGTTAATTTTTTATTATTATTTTGAATGGTTACTGGCTCTTGTACAATGACAGCTGAGACCAAAAATGTCATCGAAAACGGATGAATGGTTGAATAGCCAGTGGCAAAAGTAATTAGACATTTCTACTGATAAATTGCCAACCAAGCCACTGATGGGACTGGTTGAAACAAATGCATAACATGACTTTAGTCACAAATCATCTAATTTTAGAAATCATTTGTGCACTTTAAAGCATGTATAGTTATAGCGGAGGCCTTAACCTTTCATTTGCTGCTGGTTGGAACATAAATTACGCCAGAGAATTACAGCAGAGAGTAAATAGTGTGCCAACCAACCTCGGGCTCCTCTACTTTATTAGGAAAATTGCAGCATCACATGAAACATGAAACATAAAACAAAACAAATAACATTAGGGACACACAAAACTATGATCATACTGTCATTATTATGCCTGATAACAAGTTAATTATATGCTGTGTATTCTTGTATTGTAGCAAGGGGCTTAACTTGACATGTACAGATGAGTATTGCAGATAATTGCATGCAATTGCATGTAAAATACAGCAGTGTGTGGACAGGTTTGTAATAAACAAGTAAAATATTTTGAGGCACAGTAACTAAGGTGATGAAGATTTTATTGTTTCACCAATGATTTGACCACATTTGGTCTTTTTCAAAGCAAGTTTTACACAAAAATTTGTATAGATATAACAAGGTGATGTCCAAGTCCTAAACCCAATGTTATTATATTTCTTTGTCAGTTACACTGATATGAACCATGGACAAACAGCAAATCCTTAAGATTGAGAAATGGAATTAGCAAATGTTTGAGATTTGTCATCTTTCAATAATTAACCAATTAATTTTCTGTCAGTCAACTGATTAAATAATGATCTGAATAACTACAAATAACCCCCACAATACTGTTACTCTTGGCACAATTTTTTCAAGTTTCTCAGTCAAAATACCAGTCCAGTGTGACTTTTTGCCACCCTTCTTCTTATTAATATTTATTTCTTATTAGCTATTGCTTTTTAAAACTTTGGTTGCAATTTTGCATTTTATATCTCTCCTCCTTCAAAACCAGTGAGTTTCTGATGCACACATAAAGGTTTTAATCAATCAGTCAGCCAATCACTGTGGGAAACTGTGAGATACAGATGTCTGTTCTGCTCAGCCGCCTCTGGACTGACACACTGTTTGTCACTTCTCTTGTAATTACAGTCCTCTCACTCTGGGCTCTATCAAACAGGATCTGTTTGCACATGATCTCCTCCCACACGATGACATGAAATACATTTGGCTCCTGTCAGCAGTATTGTCCAGGTTGTCCTGAAAAGAACTATGCGTTATCCGCTGCCATCCCCACAGTTGCTTTTTGCTGGAGTTATGGGAAAACCGCAGAGATAAACGTAAATGCAGCTGGCTTAAATCTTCGAAGATGCATATCAAAACGAAACAATGTAAAGTCAACGCAGGTCATAATTAAAGCTCAAAACCACTACCACTTCAGCTTTCTGCAGGAGCGGGAGAGTGTCCAGTGTAGATTGTTCATCAAACAAAAAAGTCAATATCACAAAAGTGTTGGGTGTAGCTTCTGTAAACTGAACCATATAGGGTCGCCCGGTGCTCTGGCATCATCAACAGAGTTTGAAGACTAAATTTAAAGGTAATTACTATGACAGTGAGGAGAGAAAACTGAAATAACCCTGAGCTTTTCAAAGCTGTCATTATCATTGGAATTGTAATGACAAGGTTTGGGTCTCTTCAATGGACTTCTTAGGGTAGGACACCCACAAACATGGCATTCCTGAGGGTAACATTGCAGCATATTAATGATATATTGCACTGTGTAGATTACAAAGCTGGGGTCTCTTCTCATGCTTTATGGTTTCAGTTAACTTGAAACAAAATACCAAAATGTCTTCTAAAACATTGTTTTCGATGTGCTGTGTCATGCTGCAGAGGGGCACTTTACATACAGATTATACAGTAGCAGTGCACATTTGGATGACATACTTACATGATCTGGCAACATATGGGCTTTCCATTAGATTTGTTTAGTTTATCGTATGCAATTTTTAGACTTAAAGATGCAGTTGGTCACTTTTATGAAAATAACTGGGTCATATTTGCTGAAACTGTGACTTTATTCTGAAGGAGGCGCATGGGACAGATTCAGTTAAAAAAAACTCATGTCCCTCCTTCCCTGCCTCCTGCCTCTAACGACTTTCACTAAAATTGACTGTGGCGCAACAAAAACAACCAATCAGAGCAGAGGAGCCTTTAAAGCAGCTTTCAGTCATGTTAGTCACTGTGAATTTCAGTCAAACCTTGGACTGTAAAAATAATGGACCAAGCTACCGTAACATCACCCTTTGTTTTCTGGCCCTCCTTTTTGAAGCCTTGAGTTCGGCATTTTGGCTGTTGCCATCTTGGTTATTTGGAGTGAGATATGATCATATTTGGGTGAGACGCTGGCACTGTGGAGAAGCAAGGGGCGGATCTAAATGAGAAGCCGAGCACACTATCATCAGACACCCTCACTCAAAGCAACTCACCCTTAATTACACATAACTGTAAGCCTTTATAAAACATAAACTGGCAAGCTATATAAAAATTCACCCCCATACAGCTGTCATGAATGTTGAAATTAGCAATAGAGACTAAAACTGTTTTTTGTACCAGACTGTAAACATGATTAAATCTGCTGTAAATTTGGACGATTTAACATGAGCATCTATGGGGATTGACTCACTTCTGGAGCCAGCCTCAAGTGGCCATTCAAGGAACTGCAGTTTTTGGCACTTCTGTGTTGGCTTCATTTTTCAGCATAGACTGTAAAAATAATGGATGTAGCTACGGTGACATCGCCCATTAGACTCAAGTTTGGCACTATGGCCATCGCCATTTTGTTTTTTTGGAGCCAGAGGTGACCACATTTGGGCGAGAGGCTGGCACCATGGAGAAGCGAGGGTATATCTGACTGAGAAGCCGTGAAAACTATCAG